CGCTACTGGACCAACCCAGCAGCACCAGAGCTGCTCTGTCCCAGGCGTCCCCAAGTCAGCCACTGCTGAAACTGACCAGTGGCTGACTACAGAAAGCCCCTGCCCCGGGCTTCCTGGAATCAGCCGCTGATCAGTTTCAGCAGCAGCTGACTTGGGGATGCCAGGGGTTCTTAAGTTGAATCTGCATGTAAGTCAGAACTGGCGTCCAGATTTAGCCGCTGTTAAGAACAAACCTACAGTCCCTATCGTGTACGTAACCCGGGGACTGCCTGTATTTCTATTATGCTATGGAATAGGCTCCAATGCCTTATCACCTGGTCAGCTTAAAGGATAAGATTCTGGAATATAGATTGTACACCAAACAATCCTGCTTTGTTACAAGGACAGACTAGATGCCATAACTAATCTTCTCCATCTCTAGTTTGTTTTTCAAATTGCTTTATAAAAAGTCACTTCGCTAGAGGCAGGGTTTGGGAAGCAATGTGACCGTAGCATATTTTTGTGGTGTAAAGAATAATCCAAGAACATGGAAAAAAAGTGTTTTAAAGATTAAAAGCACATTTAAGAATACATGAGGGGGTGTGGGTAGTATATATCTAGCTGTCTAGTTCTGACTGCACCTCTGATGCTTCGATTGTCCCTGTTTTGAAGTCAACACCCTGAACAGAAAGAGATTCCCAGTAATCTTATATAGTGCTATCAATTCTTCTTATAGTAATTTTACATGGCCCCAAGAGCAATTCTTACTTAAAGAGCGTTTCTGAATTCTATTACTCACTTGAGATTAGTAAGGCAATAATACCCTGGAATTCAGTGCACATCGTATAAATTAGGGTGTAATTTGATATTGTAAAAAAAATTAAAGAAGGATAAATAATCCTGTCTTGTGCTCTTGGAGGCAAATCTACTGTGATACGAGAAATTTTCAAATGTAATAGTTCTCTCTGTGGAGCGGTAATATCAGCCACTTGTGATGCTCAGGCTTGCGTAGCAGTCCAAGTAACTATGAATTAATAATAAAGAGCCTCTCTTATTCCCTTTCTATGCAAATTAGAGGTAAGTCTTCATTGCAAAGATTTACCCGAGTCAAAATTTTTATCTCAGTCTCATTTGTACCTTTAGCACATTATGTTTCAGTTGACTTATTTTCCTAACTTTTCCGATAAGAAATCCTTCTAACATCTGACTGGTGCTCTGTCCATTTGTCTTCTGTCATTTAGGATGGTGGTGTTGGTGAAGGATAAAACCACAAAGAACAAATTATGGAGGGTGCGACAATAGCTTTCTCTACATTTTACTGGCTTATGAACCTTCAGTTGATCTGCCTACACAGAGTTAGACAATTGTTAGGTGGAATTTGTTCACAACACTCTGGCAGCAAATTTATCCAATGAATAAATATAATCTTTACCGTTTTTATTTAAGAGAAGAATTTCCAATGGCCCAACTTAAATCCAAGACAAACAGATTTTAGGCTTTTGCTGCTCAAACAACAAAGAAAAACAATTCTAAAGGCATGTTCATAGGTGGCATTCAGAATGTCAAGAAAATACATCCAGCTCCATATGAGTATGTAACGTGATTTTAATTTTTTCCCCTTAAATAAATGCATCATAGGGATGTTAGTACTGTAGTAATAATGAAGGGTGTAGGGATGCCAGTCGAGAGTAGTCAGCTTTCGTTTTGTTTTCTCATACATGTCTTTTGTGAAGGGTAAGATCTTTGGCAAACCAAAATTAAACGACCTTATCCAACAGCTGACGAGTAAAGGGGCAGGGAAGCCTCTCTAACTGGCAAGCTTGGTGGCAATAATCCTTCAAGTCAGACAAGAGAGGCTTGGCATACTATAATCAAATAACAGGATTAGCTCTAAGTCTGGGAACTACAGTTTCTGCATGATTTTCCACCTTCCTTGGAAGAAAAATCATTACAGAAAAGCACAGGCAAAAAGTATGCAAGCAGTAAATACTTATATTTTCATTAAAAATGATCATAAATCTCATGCAAGAGATTTAGTGTTAAGATAAATATCTTTCTGTTTGAACAGCATTTTCTCATCCCTAGTTTAATTTTGCATGCCCTTTTATATACCAATCTGAGTTTCTCCCCTGCACATCCGTTGTTAGGAACTTAACTCTGTACCGAAAATGTTCTTATCAAGTTTGAAAACACACTTTAACTGATCATGTGCTGAAGTTTAGAATGCACGTCAAATTAAAACATGAACAAAGTGGTCTCAGGTTAACAAAATCAAGCATTGTTGAACCATTTTAAAAGGAAGTCCTTTTACAAAAACATTGCCTGGTTCAGTTTCACTCTGCTTGCTACCACCATCAGCTTCACATGTTCCAGCCCAAACTGATATCGTTCCAATTGAAGTTTCACCCTTAATTTTTAACAATACATCATATTTTATAATACCAAATTCCAATGCTTTTGGAAACAACCTCAGAAAACACTGATTTTTAGTAAACAGGCAGAAACAACTGTAAACTGGCAGATTGTGCCTAGATAAGTCAGTAGGACAGATGCTCAAATATTGTACCTGGTCAGTGATTGATGTGTAGCAAATAAAAACAAACTTAGACTTTTTTTCCCTCCCTTTTTCTCTTTCAGATACGTTAAAAGGGCAGCCTTGTGGATGGCCCCGGAGCAGGCCAGATGGAACAGGATAGAACCACCCATGTTGATGGCAATAGATTGAGTCCATTTTTAATACCACATCCTTCTCATGTTTGCCATGTGGAGCCCTTGACGGTGAAGCTGCAGAATGGAAGTCCATTGACAGAGAGAACCCATGCTGAAGTAAATGGTGACCATAAGTGGCTACTTTTAAAGAACAACTATGGAATACCTCATGTGAAGGGAAACCCAAATAACCGTACCAGCCCTGATCTCCTACAGGAAAAGAGAGTGTATTCCAAGTATATGCAAAATGGTGGGATAAAACGCACTTTTAGTGAGCCTTCTCTATACGGTCTTCATCAGAACAAGAAAATTAAACAAGATGAAGAGGTCAATGGTGAACAAGATGAACCAGAAGAAAAAAATGGAAAAACAACCGTCTCCAATTCATGCAGTGAGAAGAAATCTGTGAGTTTTACTGGACAAGAAAATGCAGCTTCTGATGTTACACAGTCTTCAAGAGGAAACTGTGATGGTTCAGAAAATCCTGAAGATCTCCAGATTCAGAATGAGCAAGAGAGAGAAAATATGACTTGCCACAACAAGGACATTGTCTTACTACTTAAGAACAAGGCGGTGCCAATGCCTAATGGTGCTACAGTTTCTGCCTCTTCCATGGAAAACATGAGTGGTGAACTCCTGGAAAAAACACTGTCTCAATATTATCCAGACCATGTTTCCATTGCAATGCAGAAAAACACATCTCACATAAATGCCATTAACAGTCAGGCTACTAATGAGTTGTCCTATATGACAACACATTCATCCCATACCTCAGGGCAGATCATTTCCCCACAGACCTCAAACTCTGAGCTGCCTCAAGTGCCAGCTGTAGTGGCTACTGAGGTCTACAATATGGGAGACTCCAGTAAACCACCTGTATTACCAGGTAGCTATTCACTTCAAAAATCGGAACTACAGCAGCAAAACACTGGCTATGATACACACCAGTTAGCCATCGGAAATAGGAGCGTTCAGAGACACATGGGACAGCTACCCAACCAAGATCTCGCTCTAAGTTCCAGCAGTAATCTGCAAGCTCGAAACAATAGCCTGGAAACAGAGCAAGCAGAAAAAAATGGTGCTTTTTTTAAACACAACTCAATGTTCAGTAAGGATTCCTTCACCCCTCCCCCTGCTTCTGCTCCTCCTCCTCCAGATCCAGAAATGAACAGCACTCTGTCCATTGGGGTTACAGAAGGGCATCACCCCTGTGACCACAGAAATGTTGAAAATCTCCCCAGAGAAGTGAAGAATGAAGGGCAGCAGGAGGGACGGGTGACCAAGAGTCCTGGCCTTGCCCAGCAACAACCTAAGCCTCAACCGAAGCTTCCACAGAAGCCTGAGGTGTCACAACAGGATGGCGGTGAAAGTGATCTGCCAACTGCCACAATGACCTCCATTCAGCAATGCACAGAAGAAACAAAGCCAACGTCAGAGCCTCACATCCAAGATCTGCAGGTAGCTGGGAGACATGGAGAGTTGCTGCGAAACTCTCAGCTGCTCCTGGGACAAAAAAACCAGGCGACTCTTCCTGACAAAGGAAAAGACCAAGTGAAGCAGCCGACCCAACATTATCCAACGCCAGGTTGGATAGAATTAATTTCCACTCATTTTCGCCACAGAGACCCCCCTCAGAAGCCCAATGAGGCTTTACTGAGGTCAATTCTTCAGTTCCAAGCAAATCCAATGGAACAGGTGCATTCAGACCAGTATCCTGGGAATCCTGATGCATTAAAAGGGCCTTCAGGACAGCCCCATAGTGAGAAAACAATACAACAGGAACCAATGCCTCAGCTGTACAAAAGTGAGGCACCCCAACGGCCGCTCCATCCTATAGCTGAGCAGCAGCTGCAAATCCAGAAGCACTCTCCCCAGCCACAGCTCACAGAGATGAAGTCTCTAGTGAAGGCCCATGTGCAGCAACACCATGTGCAGCAGCTTCATTTCCAAGCCAGACAAGAACAGCAAACTGAGCAGTCTTTGGGGACCCTGTTAAAACAGCAGCACTTGAATCTCCAGGCAACAGAGAAGGAACAATTCGTACATTCAAACATTTTACAACAAATGTTGCAGAAACCGGCACAGCAGACACAAGTGTCACGCAGTCCACAGCAGTTAACCCCAAATCACCATCCCCAGCCAGCCCTGCAAATGAAAAGCAAAGAACTGTCTCAGCCCTTTTCCCAACTCCAAAGCAACAATGAACAGCGACTAGATGGGGTATCCTACGCTCAGTTTAAACCAGAAGAACGTTTTCAAACAGAGACTACATGTATAAAAACAACTGAGTTCCCTCCTACCCCTCAGCTCGGACTAGAGCAGGAACAAAGTATCAACAATAAAACTTCCCTTTACAATCAGATCCTGAAAACAAATACTCATCTACAGCGTCCTGGCCATGTGCACTTGGTTTCTGAGAAGAAGGAAAACACCATAAGTGCTGAACTCTTGGGACTAAAGAAAAGGCAAGACTTACAATATATGCAATATTACCCAAATAGCATGGCCCCTAAGCAAGATGTGCAGCATCGCTTTCAAGAACAAGAGCACCAAACTCAGCAGGCTTCCGCTATGCAGCTACCCCTCCAACAACCTGAACGATGTGGTGGGAATTTGAAACAAGATCTTCCTGGTCAGCAAGCTACACCAATTCAGCAAAGGTACTTACCCCACAGCCAACATGCTCTCCCACAAGACCAGAGAGGATGTCACCCTCTGTCTCAGACCCACAAAGATTTTCAAAACCATGCTGCTCTCAGGTGGCATCTCTTACAAAAGCAAGAGCAGCATATGCACCAACAACCCAAACCTGAAATTTGTGCCAGTGTAATGCGCAAGCCTATAAAAGTTGAGGCTGGCTCAAAGTCTAATGTCTGCATGCATCTATCAACTGGACAGCTGGAAAACAAAACGTGGAAAAAAATAATTAAACAAGAGAATCAGCACTTCGGTTGTGAGAACCTGCAACAAAAGAGTATCATTGAGACAATGGAACAGCAACTGAAACAAATTCAGGTCAAATCACTGTTTGATCACAAAGCTCTTACTATCAAATCACCTAAGCATGTGAAGGTTGAAACAGCAGGCCCCATCACAATCCTATCAAGAAATTCGACTGCTGCAGAATTTGAGAGCCACGCTTCAGCCTTAGATCACCATGCAATTCCTTCAGCTGAGAAAACCCCAACGAAAAGAACAGCTGGATCTGTTCTCAATAATTTTTTAGAGTCACCTTCCAAGTTATTGGATACTCCTGTAAAAAATTTATTGGACACACCTGTCAAAACCCAGTATGATTTCCCATCATGCAGTTGTGTTGGTAAGTGACAAGAAATATACTAAAAACACATTGTTAATTCACAATTAGGAAGACAGCTTTCAAAGTTTTTGGGGGGTTGGTTGGCTGGTTTTATTTTGGGTTGATTTGTGAGAATGCCAGCCATTAGCAAGGGAGCATTTCAGTTTCTTTCCAGCAGCACTAGTTTTTTACACTAAAAATAGACCACTGCCCTAGGTTTGTTACAAAGCAGTTATCTGTCTGGTTTTGTGTGCTAGCACGTCAACGTATAGCATACAAATCTAATAAAAAGTAGATTCTTCAGTCTGTTTATCTCTTTGTATCCAGTTTTATTGAGAAGCAGGCCTGTATTATTCAAACACATTGGATAAAAAGATCAGATGCATAATTTAATTTGATGCAGTATGATTTAAGTCAAGGGGGGGAGATACTGCTTGTAGGAAAGCTGTCTCAAAACCTGAGATACTCGCTTGATTTTAACTCAGACACACAGTCTATTACTGAGAGTTTCACTAAGTAAGGCTTGCCTAAAAACAGAGGGTTGGATTTTGCATTGACCCTTCCATAGGTGCCTTCTTCCTTTCACTCCCTGGGTAATAAACAGTGTCAGGACCAAGCAGAATTTCAACTGCGGTGCCTACGGAAGCACAGGGACTGCTCCATCTCTGCTCTCCTCATTGCAAAGAGGCAAGACCACGGTTGCCCAGAGCAGGACTGGCGCTGCAGGGAGAACAGAAGTGTAGTAGCTGGCATGCTGCTCCTTTCCACTTTGCCATGCACTATTTTGTTGGGAGAAATGAGTCTCCATGCTGCCTCTTACTAGGGGTACATTCTGAAGTCTTTTTTTCTGGATTCTCTGCTGTGTTGGATTGAGACAAAATGTACAGTTCTTCGTTGTGACGGTAAATAGTTTTATTGTGTCCTCCCTGATTTATACATATACATTTTCTCTCTCTCTCGCTCCCTCCACCACCCCCACCCACCCCAGGGTATAAAGTTCAAAATAATATTCTCTACAAATACAAAGATAACCTTTCTCCCTTTCTCAAATGTTTTGAGTTGAATCTCAAGGAAACTGACATGAGGTTGTGGAGGAGGGGAAAGTACTACATCACCATATTGCAAGGAGGAATACAAAACTGGTTTCTTGTTTCTCCCTGCCACACTTAGCAAAATCACTTTGTAGAAGTGAAATAAGGAAATCAAAGGACTCGGCTTACATAGTCTTAATATACATATGTAAATGCATGTTTTACAGAAACATTTTGACATAATTTGTGGGCCTACCGTAGGCATATATGTGTGAAATTTGGCCCCCAAAATTGATAACAGGGTCCTGCCTGGCTAGCAGTGGGTAAGCTTTGCAATGCAATTTCTTCCATTGAATAATGACGCTTTAAGGCAATAACCTCTCTTTTATTTTAAACAGAACAAATTATTGAAAAAGACGAAGGTCCTTTCTATACCCATCTAGGAGCCGGTCCTAATGTGGCAGCTATTAGAGAAATCATGGAAGAAAGGTAATTGGCACAAAGGCACAGAACAGATTAACATTTATCCTTTTGTGCATGTCAGAATTTTTTCAGCCTTTGCACGTAGAGAAGTAAACAATTGCAAATGGAGTAATTATTTGTAGGCTTAGCTACTCCAGTGTTGCCAGCTTTACGTATTGTGCTATTCACCAGAGAGTCACAATATTTGACAGGGCTAATAGACTGCTGGCTGGCACAGGCTACCCTCTTTGAGACAGATGCCAGCAAACCCAAGCGGGGACAAGTATTCATGAGCCTGCCAGGCAAGAGTGTTGGCTATGGCTGCAAAAGCAGGCATAGACCTGGTGTTCCCAGTGAGAGTACACATGCCAAGATAGGGAAAAGATGGAGGGACAAGAGCACAGAAAATCAAACTTCAAGCAATATGTTATATATACAAAGACTTCTCAAGAAGCTAAATCCTGCTCACTTTACTCCTGCAAGGTGTTTAGTCATAATAACGGAAGCAAAGTAAGATTTGGTCCTGATACTCAGTGTGCATCTATACTGCACTCTTCCCTCAAAATAAGCTACTTAATTTGGGCTACGCAGGTTGCATAGCTTATTTCAAGGTAATTTCGAAATGCCCCTTAGCCCTCGTGGAATGAGATTTACAGAGACGTCAAAATAACACACCAGTTATATTTCAAAATAATGGGCACACTCAAAAGACATGGAATTGCTAGTTCGGGATACTTCTGGTATCCCAAAATAGCTCCGCAGTGTAGACATAGCCTTAATAAGCAATTCTTTAGTAAAACATCCCTCTCCCATTGTATGAAGAGAGAATTATTTTGATTGATAGAATAAATTATATATCACAGGATGAGATGCTACTCTTATTTTCCACATTACCAGAAAAACAGATGCTTTGGATATGCATGTAATACTTATACAGAGATATGGGCCATTTATATATTACATAAATGTAAAATGCTGCTAACATTACTAAGGTATTGAAGTGGTGAACTCCAGAGTACAAGAGCAAACTTATCCTGCCTCTTGAACTCTGCCATACTACACAGCACATACATTAAATGGGATACGTAGGCACTACATGCCAAATCTGAGGTCCACATTCTACTGTCTCTCTGGTTTTACTTATTCCGTACCCAGGCTATTGGGAGTTTGCCTGGGTAAGGGCTGAAGGAGTTGGACCTGGTCTCTCAGGGCCAGATCGAAGCTGGCAGGTACACAGAAAAGTGGGATAGTATAAGGAGCTTCTTTCCCTTGCGGCTGTGCCCAGATCGAAGCTGGCAGGTACACAGAAAAGTGGGATAGTATAAGGAGCTTCTTTCCCTTGCGGCTCCTGTGCTGGTCTGGCCCAGTTGTAGACCTTGCACTCACCCATGTACTTCTAGCTAGCATGATAAACAGCATTAGCAACTCTAACCAGGGTGTGAGATACTGGCTGCCCATGTGCCAGCTCAGGACATGGTCCAATGCCTCACTCAAATACTGATAAATACATAGTTGAAGTCAGTCTGGTTCACCAGTGTGTTAGTATTGTTACAATCAGCATTAGCATTGTAAAAATGTTCTTGCTGTTTAGGCTGAATGAATGCTTGTAAGTTGCTGCCTGCATTAATCTCACTTAACAACATCTGAGTCCCATGTGGTAAGGTGATATTTGAGCCTCATATTATAAGCCTCTGTGTCCGTGTACCTCATCAGACAGGAGACAGACGTTAACTAGTATTAAAGAGCTGATCTCCAACAAAAGGTATTACATCCTGGCCAACATGGGAGACCTCTCAACAGACAAACTATTGTGGAATATGATAGAGGACTGCTCACCCCTCTTGCTCCCCACCCCATCGAAGATGAGCTATCCAAGGGAATTCCTCCCATCGGCTGAGTTTGCAGCTCAAAGAGCAAGAGGGAAAGGGAATAAAAACTCCACACGAGAAGCATATCTTTATGCTGCTTGGATGCAGGGAGGGGGGAAGAATGACTGGGCATAAGAAAAAAAATCCCAGTGTTTAGTCTGGTTTAGAAAATCCAGGGTTAGCTCTAAAGGACACCTAGAGCTTGCTTATTATAGAAGCTTCTGTTACTTTTTCTAAATCTAAGTTTAGAGTCAATAGGGCTGGGGGTAACCTGAAGGTTACTGTGGTCTTTGATGTACAGGTTAATCTATCACAAAGGTAGGTTAACATGGGTGATAAGACTGACTGGAGTACCCAAGCGGTCTGTCTGTGATTCCATGTTAAGGCTGTAATAGTGCTTGAGGAGTTTACTCTTAATAATTGGTGCAATCTACATTTAGACCTCAATTTGGCGTTTGTGCCCTGCTTCCTAAGAGTTGGCCCTGTGGTTAGTACCCATGCTCTTGAGCCATTGCAGGGCAGTCTGGTAGGGTAGGAGGACCATATCCCACATTCCTCATTGTGTAGGGGAGCACACACCTTTAGAAGGTGGGATGCAGTATGTTTGTAATTCCCCAGCACTTTCAGCTCAGGGCTTTAGTTCCACAAATTAGGCCTTTACATTTCACTAGTAAAACAGAAAATCCTACATATGAGGCTTTGGCAGCATTAAAGAAGGAACCTTCATTTTTTGAACTTTTAAAAAATTTGAGTGCTTGATTTCACAGTTTTGTACATTTACTTTTTTACATTTAATTTCCACTGTTTTGGTTGACAACCTTCATACCCTCGGCTGGCTTCACCAGAAAAGCTCAAAAATGACTTGAACAGCAGCAAGCTGGGAGTCTTTTATATTGTAGGAGCAGTATAGTTCAAAATGGCTGAGGAACTACAAAGGTATTTGGCTCTTAGAGTTAATCCTACATCCCTAAATCCACATTCCTTTAAAAAACACACTGAAACAACTATACGCATATTCTAACACACAGGTATGCCTTTGTTGGGTTTAAATATGTATACCTTTGACATTACTGGCTTTCAACACATTTGCCTTTATTTTTAAATCCTTAGATCTACAAAACAAGCTAAATCTGGAATTTCTAGTTATGCGAGAATAAATGTCTCACATGAATCCATGGGAATGTGTATTTATCTTTTCCCTCATTCACCCTCTACACACAGTTCACATAATTCAAAACTATTAGCTCCTATTTTGTAACTCTAAGAAAAAGGTCAGAAAAGATAAAAAGTATATCTTATCTTCACAACCTACTGTTGTGAGAATATTATTACAGAAAAAAATTGCAATGCAATCTGATTAGCAAAGCACAGGAAACATTTTTTATAAAGAATTAAATTTGTTTTGCATATGGTAGATTAAAAAAAACCAGCTGTAAATTAACATCTCAGCCTTTAAATAGGAAAAAAAAGTGATATACTAATTGCCTTTAGCGCTTATACTCCTACATGATTGGGATTTTAGGTAAATAATTACCTGGGCTAGTACAGAATTACAACTCCAAGCACAACATCTAGGAATTACTTTCTCCCTCCCCCTCCCCCCCACACACACTTCCTTTACTGATGAAGAAAATTAAATACAAATGTGTGTTTAATTTAAACACATAAATAAGAACGGCAAAATTTAAAATGTTCAAATAACAGCGTTCGCTTGGCCACACAGCCACTGCCAGCAGACCTTTGACCAGGGTGACCAGGGCTGTACCCCAGGGCAATGTGCTGCTGGGGGCACATTGGAATAGACCCACATGACTTTACCTGCAGCCAGCCAGCTGGGCTTATGGAAGGGAAGCACTGAAGTCCGCCCAGCTAGGGTCAGGGAGGGAGGGGAGAGAACAAAAACATACAGCCCAGCTGTAGTTTGAGGCACTCACTCTCTCAGGTAACTCCTCTGGTGGGAGCAGCAGCAGGGGTGGCTGGGTGCATGGGGGCTCCCCACTTTCCCAGGATAAAGGGCCCTGTAGAAGCCATGTGGGGGGCTCAGGTTGTGCTGGAAGAGGCTTGGGATGGGAGGATCAGGTTGATGAGGAAGGGGGGTTGAAGGAGGAGTGTGTGTGTGTGTGCAGCTTGTCTCTATGGGTTTCCTGGGGGCTTGGAGCCTCCCTGCTCCCTGGGCGTGTGTTGGTGTAACAGGTCCAGGTCTACCTCCCTTCACTTCCCCTTCCCTCCTAAGAGCCCCACTTGTCCAGGAGAGGGCTTGCTCTTTGGAACACACCTTTAGCACTGCACAGTGAGCACTGCCAACTGGGACGCTGCTTGCAGAATGCCTGCCAATATGGCTCCCATCCCATCCTGTCCCTTCCCTGCAGAGAGGCCACACATGGGGGCCATGCATTAGGTCACACCAACAACAACTTTTTCTGCCAGGGCTTGTCTGCCAAGCTCTCTCCTCCACTTCCTCCCCTGTTTGCTGGAGGCAGCTTAGGACCAAGATAGGAGAGGTAAACAAACAGCACCTGAACTAATAAGCTTCATTGGCTCCTGAGCCTCCATATGAATAGAAGGAGGAATGGGAGGTGTCTGCCTGCCTGCTGTGACCTTCTGGAAACTCTTTTACCTTTCATTCAGTCCCTGATTTCTAATCCACAGCCTCAGTCTCTCTCTCTCTCTCTCTCTCTCTCTCTCTCTCTCATATTTTTTTTAACTGTTTCTGTTTCCACTACAAGTTGTGCTTAACAGGATTCTGAAATTCCTTGGGACAGAAGGCCTTATCTAAGTTGTTCAGCACAGTGTTGCATGTATTTCTATACCGCATCAAGATTTAAGAATAAGGAAACTCCTTTCTTTACTCCCATACCTTGCAAACGTCATTCATCCTCTGGAAGTCATTGGGACTCCTGCTTTTAGTGTGAGGAACTGAGAGTGTGGGCAGGGGTGGTTGGTGAAACTAAGGCTAGAGGAGGCAAGCCCACAGCCGTACCCCCAGCTCCACCCCTTCTGCTGAGTCCCCACCCTTAAGGGAGCCCAGCTGCCTCCCCACCCCCATCACCACTATGGGGAGAGGGGACAGCACACCACACGCCCCAGCCTTCCTGATCTCTGGAGCACAGAGAGGGCGGAGGGCACACGTCCCCATCCCCGGAGCACAGGGAGGGAGGAGGGTGCATGGTCTCAGTCAGGAGCGCCACTGGCAGCAACACTCTGCCCCCAGAACACCTACAGTAGATGTTCTGGAGGGGGAGTGTGGGTGGAGCGAAGGCAGTGCCTCCCCTTGCCTATTATACCGGATGTCCACATCTGTGGGATTGTTGTGACTTACAGTGTTAATGAGGACCTTAAAACTGAGAAGAAAACTCCAGTGGGGATGCAGACTCTCTATTCCCCTTCCCTCTCCCCCTCCCCCCATACTGCAACCCTGCTGCTCTTCCTTGTAAATAGGCTTGGTAGAATTAACTTTTTATTTTTCATAACCTTAAAATGTACTATAAATTGTTTGGTTTCAAGCTTTTTTGTATTTTTTATTATTTTTAATATTCACTGTTATGGGATATTGAAGGTCAGGTAGTTTTTTAATGTACAAGCTGAAACTCAAAGAGTTCTTGCTTTCAGACTGCCAAAATAAAAACAGAGAGACAAGGCATGTGTGTGAAGTAATATCTTTTTGGGTTTTAGATCAACTGGCTGGTGAAAGAGGTAAGCCCTTTTGAGCTTCAGAGGTATGGAGAAGAGCTTTGTGGGGTTCCAAGCTTGTCTCTTTCACCAACCATATTTGGTCCAATGAAAGCTCTTTCCTCACCCACCTTGTGGCTCCCATCCTGATATCAACATGACTACAACAAAAGAGAAAAACCCACTGTCAATATCATGTCAAGTTATAAATATCCTAAAACCAGACATGGTTTATTTAACTCTTCATTTGCTAGTCCATTTGTAACCAAGCCCAATTCAGAAGTTTATACCACTGAATTTGGATTATAACAAGTTCTTAGGCAGGATTTTTCTTGCTTTCCTTATCTGTAAATGTCAAGTATTATTGATGGAAATACGTTTGAGTTTGTTTGTGTGTATGTTGAAATCAACAATTAATTTCTAAGTTATCTGCAAAATACCACAACCCTAGAGTGTACAGGTCCCCTGGAATCAGAGTAAAAAGTTGCTTTCCTCTCCACCCACTCCCCCCCCCCCCCCCCACACACACACACTTCCCCCCATTTGAATTGGCACCTCTGGCAAGCTAAGTAGCCAGAAGGCTGTGGGAGCACCATCGTTTCTGGCAAGATGCAGCTCCCATGTGGCAGCACGAATCCTGCCTGAAACCACATACCAAGCCCTACAAGCCGCAGCAGCAGCACAGAAGTAAAAGTGGCAAATACGCCGTCTATCATGCTATCCTGTCTGTTTCAGCGTTGGTACACTATTGTGTCGTGCAGAAGGGCTCTACAATAGCAGCCGTGGCCTTCGGCAAAGCCTCTGGGGGACACTGAAGGGGGAGTGTGTGTTTAAAAATGACAAGGAAGAGCTCACTGTTCTTTTATAGATACAGTGATTGTTCTGCACAACACAGCCTCTAACTGCCAGCTGGTGCCTTGGAAGGAGGGGAGGAGTTTGCAGGGCCATGGTTCTTACACATTCACAGCTTTGAGACAGATTTTATTCCAAAAGGTTGTTATTACTGATTTACACCAAAATAAGCAAGAACCAAACCGGATCTCCAAATCTGCAAAGGTTTACAGACACATTATCAAAGGCATTATCTTTGTGCTTTCTGTAGATCTCTTTGAGTCTAGAAGGCAGGCATAATCCCTATTCGTGTTTAATAACTGAATGCAACAGGTGACTAGGACTGGATGATAATCGACTATGAGTATGTCTTTAAATAAATGATTAATGCCTTTTTGCTGACTTAAGCTTTGTCTAAAGCAGAAATCAGTATAGAAAGTGAGCTGAATGTAACTACTGCATCCCAACTTTTCCCTGACAATGATACACTTTAAAAAGGAATAGCTACAGTTTTTAAAAAGGATTTAAAATACTTATGAAATATATGTTTCTAAATCAACAAATACAGCAAATTCACTATAGAAAGGAGCTTTCAGGTTTGATAAATTTAGCACAGATGGACAATTTCTACCCCTTTATGGCCCATTAAATACATTTTACAAAATGGCCTCTTTCACCATAGCAACACATAATTGTACTGATCTGAATAAGACTGAACCATTATGATTCATCCCTTCTTGCTTAGAGCTAAGAGTTTCTTTCTCAAGATAAAACTCACCAATATGCTCAATCTAATTACATGTCCTTGTGGACCACATTCAAATGCAGCTGCTTATTGTGTTTTTGTTTGTTTGCTTATTTCCTTGTTTGTTTAAGATTTGGACAGAAGGGTAAAGCTATAAGGATTGAGAGGGTCATCTATACTGGAAAAGAAGGCAAAAGTTCTCAAGGCTGTCCTATTGCTAAATGGGTAAGAATGATGGCTACATATCCGTAAGCATAATTTAGTTTTGTTTGAACATTCATATAAGCAAAGGGAAAACACACACGTATTTATTTTAGTTGAAGTTCAATTAAAACAGTTAAGTGCCAACAATTGCCCACTCTGAGGGTAGAAACTGACTCAGACCTGTGCAGTTCCTTCAGCTGCATGCACGTAACACAAAATTTGGCCTAACGTAATGAAAAAGAAGATCTGTTTCTTTTAGATTTAAGATCCAGAATGTTTGACACTCTTCTTACCGTTGCATTTAGCCTAGAAATAATTAGGAGGTGCAACAGCGCTACCTTGATGTTTAGAAAATGCCCTCTCTGATCCACAGAGGCCATAGCGCACTCTTTTAGTCAACGTCATCTCCTCTGGCATGATCATTACTGAGTACTTAGGGTTGGTTGGTAGGAGACAAGATGAAGACAAATTGATGCTTTTTTAAATGATAGTCTTTTTGTATGCCAGACTGTGCCCTCTTGTAGAACTATCCACAGTAATATGGGCACTGGGAGGCAGGAACTATCTTTCTACTTTGAATTTCACCTACCGCAGTGTGCCTGCTTCCATAATGTTTATATGTGATAATTAGTAACAGGGGCACATAAGGTCACAAAATGCAGAGGCTGACCTT